GGAATCCTCCCAGGTGTTGGACGATAACCTGGAATCCTCCCAAGTGTTGGATGATAACCCGGAATCCTCCCAGGTATTGGACGATAACCTGGAATCCTCCCAGGTGCTGGATGATAACCCGGAATCCTCCCAGGTGTTGGATGATAACCCGGAATCCCCCCAGATGTTGGACGATAACCCGGAATCCTCTCAGTTGTTGGAGGATAACCCAGAATCTTCCCAGGTGTCGGACGATAACCAGGAATCCTCCCAGGTGTTGGACGATAACCAAGAATCTTCCCAGGTGTTGGACGATAACCTGGAATCCTCCCAGGTGTTGGACGATAACCCGGAATCCTCCCAGGTGTTGGACGATAACCCAGAATCCCCCCAGGTGTTGGACGATAACCCGGAATCCTCCCAGGTGTTGGATGATAACCCGGAATCCCCCCAGATGTTGGACGATAACCCGGAATCCTCTCAGTTGTTGGAGGATAACCCAGAATCTTCCCAGGTGTCGGACGATAACCAGGAATCCTCCCAGGTGTTGGACGATAACCAAGAATCTTCCCAGGTGTTGGACGATAACCTGGAATCCTCCCAGATGTTGGATGATAACCTGGAATCCTCCCAGATATTGGACAATGATCTGGAACAATCAGTGGAAAACACAATGCACGAAGAGGGGCTGACATTAGAGGAAGCAAAAGAAGAAGGAGAAAATGAAGAATCGCAAGAAGAGGACTCCAAAGAGGAAGGGCCTCCAGAAGAGGGTGGAGTCAGTGGGGAGGAATTGTCTGGGACTGGCTCTCTGGATGGAGAGACCACAAGAGACGGTCAGGGTGTACAGGAAGAGGAAGCGGGAAGAGACTCCACCTGCTCAGGACTGTGTCCCCCAGAAAAGAGTGAGGAACCTGAACCCACAGAGGCCCCTAGTCATCTCAGTGATGGAGACACAAATGCCAGTGAGAGTCAGAGCGGCCCCCAACTGGAGCCTGGTTTGGAAAAGCTCCCCATGGCAGCTGTGATGGGCCAGGAGCAAGGCCAGGCCAAGTCCGCCCAGGACGCTGGAGAGGAGGGCACATCTCTGGCCTGCAGAGGGTCCCCGGATGCTGACCTCATCTGGGTGTCCAAGTTGCTGAAGAAGATGGAGAAGGCCTTCATGGCCCACCTCACCAGCGCCGTGGTCGAGCTCCGAGTCCGCTGGAGCCTGCAGGACAACCGCCTGCTGGACCAGATGGTGGCCGAGTTGGAGCAGGCTGTAGGCCGGCGGCTCCAGGCCAGCACAGAGAAGGAGCTCCGGAAGGTCCAGAGCTGGGTGGAGAGAAAGGCTCTGGGGTCACCCAGGGGAGTACTCAGAGGGCAGGCGTCCCTGCAGACAGAACAGCGCAGGCGCCGCCTCCAGGGTCTGCGCAATCTCTCGGCTTTTTCCGAGCAGACCCGAGGCCGTGAGCTCCTCTCCCTCAGCCTGGAGGATGCACCAAGTCTCAGTGTAGCCCTGGGAAGTCAGCTGAGCTGGGAGGATGAGGGGGAGGAGTTCTGTCCCTGCGAGACCTGTGTGAGGAAGAAGGTGGTCATGGTGTCCCCGAAGGATACAATGGGGGCAGCCAGTGCACCAATCAAAAAAGCCTTTGACCTGCAGCAAATTCTGCAGAAGAAGAAAGAAGAATTTGCCAATGAGGAGGTGGCCCCTGAGGGGAGCAGGACAAAGCTACTGCAGGAGGATCCCTCATGCACCAGGGCTGACCAGGGAGCTGAGGGAGGGCTGGCGTCGGTCTCAGGCCCAGGCCCTGGGGTGAGTGGGGAAGATGAGGAGGAGGGATGTCAGAGACTCAGCAGAGAGGAAGATCCTGACGGAGGGGAGGCAGAGGCAGCCAGCTACCAGGAGACAGAGGGAGGTGCTGCCTCTCAGCA